GTTGTAGCCAAATTGAACTACTGGTTCGCGATGAGCATAACTGTAATGTATCTGTTTTAACAATAAAATCAATTTTCATTTCTGAACAAAATTAATTTCAAATGTGTTTTGTATAAATACTATCGTGGGTACCCAGGCACCCGGGTCCGTATACTGCACAGATTCCAGTTTAAGCCAACTAAAAATAGTATAAAACAAAACATTAAATACATGTTTTGTTTGCTTTTGAGCTAAATAACCAGGATCCGAGAGCTCAAAAAAAATTTTCATTTTTTATCGCATTTTTTTTTTTCGAAAACATATCACACTGGGCACCCGGGTACTATGGTATGAACATAAGGTTTAAACAGACAAGACATTTCCAGCAGGGTTTTCCGTACAGTCCTACAAGTGGAGAGCCTCACCATTACACACTATCCAGGTATAATATGTTAAATATGTACAGGGTCCGGCATCTAACATTTTCTTTTTGAACTAGTGGTTATTTTGAGTGTGGTAACACTGATGTTACATCTGATTTGACAGAAAGTTAGTTTTATCCTTCCGCTGAACGAAAATGGTTGTGTCTACGATTGAGGAACGCGTTAAAATAGTGCAGTTTTACTTTGAAAATGTGTGCGAAAATTACGCACGGAAATGAGCCGAGAGAAACCGGCACAATTATTGATAAACCAACGCGTGAGAAACCAAAAAAGTGCGTACTGCCGGTAATATCGCTGCTGTGACCGAGAGTGTGCGTGGGGCGCCCGGAACATCAGTGAAGCGTCGCTCTCAACAATTGGACATTTCCGAGACGTCCCTTAGGCGAATTTTGAAAAAAGACCTTGGTATGACACCGTACAAAGTTCAATTGGTTCAAGAATTGAAGCCACGAGACCATCCGATGCGGTTTGCCTTTGCCGAATGGGCATTTGTTTTATTGCATTTAAAAAAAAAAAAAAATTACGTGGCGGACCCTGTATATTCTGTCAATTGACAACGATCAACGATATTGTTAGAGGCTGGCTTTTCACCTGAAACTTAAATGGGGCAAAAAGTATCACAGCGAAATGAATTATTTTTATCATTATAATTAAGTATTGAAAATTTCAAACCTCATTGACTTTTTGAATAAAAGATATTGTTTTGCCAAATAAGCGTTTTATACCTGATCATAGTCTCTCACATTTAGTCCAGTGTTTTTACATTTTTTTATTCTTTCAAAAATAAGGTTTTCTCAGGCCGCCTTAAAACAAGCATCGTTTTCAGCGTTATATCCCCATTTGAAAAAAGTCTCTTTCCGCCCAGCCATTTACTCAGGTTTAGACACAGCACCAGTCTATTAACATGAGTAGTAATGAATTGAAAAAGTCGGAGACTTTTTAAATTACCAGACCCTACTTCTCTTAGCTCATTACTGGCTCTCGACAAAATTGGCAGGGGTGTCACTGCTATCCAAAACTGAGCAAAAACTACACAATGAAATGTCCACGCCTTTTGAGTTAACTTATTGATGTCTCTGACATATCCTTAAAAGTAATGTAGTCCTTAAAGGCTGTGCAATTATACCAAAAGTCATTATTGTTCTGAAAGATCATTAGTATAGTAATGATTTTGAAAAAGTTTCATGACACTATTTAGAATTTGGTGATGTACTGACTACCCTAAACAGACAAACATTTCATCATCATATAAACAAAAGAAGCATTTCAACAAATTTGTCTAAATGTATTCAAATTTCTTTCACTTATATAATCGAAAGCAAATACACTAACACATAATACGATCTAACATAAATATCAAACGCGTTTTAAAGTCAAAATAGAAATACTAAGTGAGAGCTTTCCATTTCTAAAGGCAAAAATCGAAGTCAAGGTCGTCTCTCTATTTCAAAGCTGTTTACTGCCCCAGCAAGAGATACCATTAATAATACTAATTAACATGCGTCCATTTATTTATTTATATATACGAGTATATGCATTTATACATACATACGAGTATGCATAGGGCACAACGATCTTTAGTTATGAATAATTTTTTATACACACATTCAAACCTTTATCTAGATACATTACATATTTCTTTATATCCGTCTATATGTAGCCACATCTGAAATTAGCTCTTAAGCATATCCAATCAAACGAATTAAATACTAGTTTTGCGGAGCGATCTGGTTTCTTGAACTAGTCTTGGGCTTCCTCGACGAACAAAGAAGTGGTTAACAGAAGACAAGTATATTTAATAACTTGTTTATCGCCACAAACACCGTTTAATAGGCATAGTATATATGTATATATTTGAATACTGTTGATATAATATTAAATGTAAAAAAAAAACACTTTTCATTTGCGTCAAGAGCTCGAATATATTTGTTTTAAACCAAATTAGAATCGGAATAAGCATTTAGATATGCTGATTCTTATTACGTACTGGAATATAACATAAATATGTACATATTTGTACTGACTTATGTCTTTATTTATGTATATATGTGTGTATGGTTAAATGTTACACTACAATTTATGCACCTAAAATAATGTAGCTTGCAGCAGGAATCGAGTGGTGGGTGGCATTCCACCATGAAAAACATAATTTAAAAAAAAAAATCTTCATAAGCGCGTGTCTTCGATAATTTCTTCAAATAGGAAACATGAAAATAAAAGTAGAAAAAATACATCAACACAATTCGGTGATTCGAAATCATGTATGTATATTTATGAAAAAAAAACATAATACAAACTTACATACAAAGATATAAAATTTTCTCATTCGAAATAAAAAAAAATCCCTATCTGATTATTGCGAATTCTATTCTTTGGGAGTTGTCACACGTTTTCGCTTAAAACAAAACGACTTATATACATACATATATGTACAAGCGTATATAATCCCATTTATATTATTTTATTTTGGAACTTGAAACAGGTAAGACATCACAATATTTCACTTCTCCTCTACTTCGCTCATGCAAAACGTAACGGATTTTAAGAGCTAATGCAAAATTTTAATCGAGAAAACGAAACATTTCGAACACAATAAAATTACACTGCTATAAAGTCGTAGTGAATTTACGCACATTATACACCTAGCAAGCACATACTCGCAGCTCAAATCATTCAAAAGTACTTCAATAATTCTTTATTAGGTGTTTTTGAACCGACAGACAAAGTTTTAGGAAAAACTCTGTAGGAAATAAAATATTATAAACCTTTTGTTTGGACTACACTGACTTTTCGAAAAGTGCATTATTGCATATATATATGCAGAGAATCAATAATCAAGATCAAAACATTTGTTGCAACAAAAAGTTATGTAAATAAATATTTTGAAATCGATAAATAACTGCGGTATCATTACCACTTAGCAGTTCTGATATATGTACGCATTTGCCAAAGTAATATTATATAATATATAGAGGTGTATGCCGGCGGCCTTGATATCCGGGTGGGTAACATTGCGTGGCATGAAATAAAAGCTCTTCACAGAATTCCATCAGCAAGACGCACACCACGAATTGGAGCTGCAGGTCGGCAGAAAATCAAAACTGTGGTTACAAAGCGCCAATTATACATATATAGTATATATACATGTATATACGTTTAAAAATGAGTTCTTTGTTATATATATTTTTATGTTATTTACAATATGCAACTTTGGCCAACTTAAATGAATAATTATGGCTCTAGAATATCTCTAGTACCAATTTTTAGACTAATGACAATAACACTATACGCCATCCCGAACTAAATCGGGTTTTCTTAACCCATATCGTATGTATGTAGTATAAAAACGCTATACTAAATAAGTAATTTTTGGCATAATTTTTGGCATATTTTTTGTATATTTTACAAAGATAGATACATATTTTTCTCAGTAATCATCTGGACGAATTTAAAAAGATTTCGTGTAAACAATAAACCAACGCAACAATTTACTACATATCGCCAAACTGAAATTGGGATATATTTTACAGAGTTATCAAACATAAAATATAGTGTAATTACTAGAATCTTTAATGCATTCATTGTTAATTGCGTTGCTTCGTGTTCAAAGTTCCAGCAGTTAAGCTGAGCAATGCAAGTTTTATGTACAATAAATTAACCTTTGAAACTCTGAGATTGTTCGAAAAATATCATGGTTCGCATCCAAAACTGAAGAAGTTGCACCCACCAATAAGCCCCGCTGAGATGATTTTAAGACAAGTGAGATAAGCAACTTATTCTACGCTTATACTATTGCATTTTAAGAGGCGCCAACATTTAGCTCGTTTGGTCATAAAAATGTAATCATGACAACATTTAGACAGGACAGCCAGAAGGCGTGCTCTCCGAATCCAACACCATACGAGTATAGCTAAAAAAATTATACCTTTGAATCCTGAAGAGATATTTATTCAAAAATAAAAACTACATATGTATGTATGTACACAAAAAAAAAAATAAGGAAAATTGTTCAACTTAGTATTATTAAGTTGATATTTTCTATCTAAAAGCTTCGTTACATTTTCTTTCTTTCAAAAATCTCGTGAATTTTTGTCAACTTTTGGAAGGCTGTGGTATTGTGGGATCGACGCTTTGCAGGTATAACAGTAAATTAAAAAATAAGCAACACGCTAATACCCCCGTAATGCATATTGTATGTACATACATACATATAAATGCATACACAAACGTGCTTATGTACATAGTCAAATTAAAATTGAATACGTTGATGTTTTCAAGATTTTACACAAAGTATAAGGCACACTTCTTCGTTATTATGAATGCGATCGTGCACACCAACTTTATAAAAGAAATAAAATAAAAAAGACAGAATGCCAATAACAACAAATGCATGGCCAATAATAATTAATGCTGTAGACTGGTTGGTACTCGTAGCGGTAGAAATCAGCATATTACCAGAAGGTGAGTATGTGGCTAAATGGGAACGATCGTTGGCACCACGTCTACCACTCTATCCACGTTACACCGCTCAGCACGTTCGTCGTCAGCGGTAAAAGTATAAAAAGCGTGAATAACGTTCGCGATATTTTTCTGTTCCAGCTCAGTCTACACCCAACTGCGGAGTTGGCAAGTTAAGTTTCTTTAAGATAAAATACAATTTGTGACTCACCAACCGGCAAAGTGTGGTATAATTGGTCCATATTAAACGCGTCAATACAGTGAATGCTCGGCTACGAATCTTAAATAACGCGAAGGTGTGTAACTTGTTTTTATTGGGTTGTTTTACAAACCAATTTTTTTGTCATTGTTTTTAACTAAAACTTAAATACATACATAAAATACATGCAATACATACAATTCATATGTAAATACATATAGTATTCAAGTCAAGTATACGAGCTAAAAAGCATTATCCAATGCAAGAGTGAATTTAAAATTGTGAAGTTGTGGAACCTGTTGTATGTCAAAGGGAGCAATGTAAGTAAGATTGCAACAGTGCAAAGCAGCGGTATGTGGTAATTCAAAAATCAGGCTCAGCTTGTATCAGACGAAATTTGGCATTTATTGAAATATTGCTGTTAATACCTTTCTTACAATACATTCACGAACCGACACATACATATGTACATACATATATGTATTTAAAAAAAAAAATAAATAAATAAATATGGTTTATTCGCACAGAAAACTCTTAACCGTGAAGGTATTCCTCATAACAGCTGAGCTAATATAAGAACTAACGAACTTACATTCATAGGTGTTGAAATATATTTATGTACGTGTATATATTTATGAAAGTAACATTTAAGTTGTACGGAAATCATATGGATAGAGTAAAGTGAGACTAAAATGATATAATGGAAGAATTATATTTTGTTATTTTTTACGTTGAACTTACCTCTTGTTTTTATGTTTCAATGCCAAATTCATGGCGCCAGTGTTTATACGTTGAGTATTTACAGTCCTGCGTACCTCCATACTACGGATACATACATACATACGTATGTGTACATAAACAGTTTCAGACGTGTTATAATTGTCGAAAAGTGAAGTTAACGTGATTTGAATTGAAAAATTTATCTACACATACACATAGACAATCAACAATATAGACTTTCATACAAATATTTATAAGTATCTTAAGACAATCCCTTTCACCACAAGTGGTATTCGGTAGTGTTACCAAACTTTTCTAGCACACTATTGCTTCATGATTTCTAATTATACTCGAGTGAATTGCTCATAATTTCCGGAAATGCCCATCTACAATCAATTAATTAATTAGTGTTATTTTTTAGCTTCTGCCTCTCAACTACAAGACTATAATCAAACAACTTCAGTGTTTACATTACTCCTTATCAGTTCATATCATTCCACTTTAAATAAAATAATGTAAACAGTAAATGTAACCATTAATTTTTTTAGCATTTTATCAGTTTTGAAATATAAACACATTTGAGAACTTGAACTTCATATGAAGTCATTTAAACAAAAAGCTTCAGGATAGAACAAAGCTGCACTCAAACGAAAAATTTCTCGTTAAACAAAAAATTTCAATCAATTCGATAAAAATATTTGGTAATGTTATCGTTAAAGCAGTTCTAAAAATTAATTCTATTTCGTTTTTAGCGGAAACGAAATGCTTTCGTTAATGTTAAACCCTTAACAGATTAAGCTGTTAAATTGAAGTGTGCTGTTAATAACACAGTAAGTAGCCATTTTAAAATTGGCGTTAACCATGAATTTGTACGGTTTCAACATTAACATTTTCATTTTATTCCGATAAAATGGCGCCGAAACTAAACAAGGTTATTTCGTTAGGATTGTATTTCATATTAACAAAAGGAAATAACATCGTTTCGTTAGTGAGCATCCCTGGGTTAGAATACGATATACTATATTAAAAAATTTTTATTTGACGGGAAACTTTAAAATAATCATTTAAGCAATGATCGAACTCCTCATAAACGGTTTATCTGCCCATCTGCTGTTATAAATGCAACAAGTAGACCGCTAAGTGAGACACGATTCATTGATAAATTGGCATTATCAAACTCAAATAATATACTGACTTGATATTATAAATGTGTTTAACCAAACAATGTAAAAGGTGTATAATTCTTATTTAGGATGTTAATAATACGCAAACAATAGACAAAAAATATTGGTTCTAAAACAATAAAATTGGTAAATTATGTTCTTTCATTACAGAAAACTTTAACTGACAACTGAATAAAAAACTAAGCTTAAAATGTGTGGTAAGTATAGCTTATAGGAATTAAATCCAATAAAAAAATAATATAACAAAATAACTTGCAAACATGTAAGGAAGACAAATATGTTAATCGGAAAAAGGATTTATCTTTCTTGAAAATTTGACCTATATCTTTTAAGCTTTTATATCCATTTAATGCAAATTGGGTCGAAAAAATAATGTAGTATCCGTGTTGACAAAAAAAAAAAAACACAGAAGGGTTGACAATTGCTGGCTACGGGCGATCACACTTAGAAAATTTAACTTAACTAATCTTTTTAATTATATTCATTTTGTTCAATAAAAGATATGCTATAACAGTTATAGATCTACAGATCCTAATTTATTAGATTCTTTCTCTACTCTATTGGCGTTGGCACCGCTTACCCGATATAGCTGAATTAATTAAAACGCGCCAATCATCCCTTATTTGCGCTGTTTGCCGCCGGTTGGAAATACCACTTGATCCTTCCAATGGAGTGGAGTTCTTCCTCTTCCTCTGTTTCCACCGGCGGGTGCTGCATCGAATACGCTCATTAGATTAGAACAAGTTTTATAAGGCACCTTATCATAAGAAGAAAATTCCTTTTAAGTTTTTTATAAAAATTTCTTTAAAAGTAGTGAACAATGTGTGCTGCCATGCGAATGGTTATAGGCTCAAAACTTGACCAAATATACATTCAACAAAAATTTAATTTTAGACGTCTCTTGGCAAACAAACTGAGCCCCTCCGACACAAACTCTTCTCACCATTCTCAAAATCGCCGCAAAATACTTATATCTCCTATTGGAAGTTGAACTTTGGATTCCACTTTTGTTCCGTAACAGATTCACCATTTTGCTCTTAATTCAGATATATAGATAAACGGCTGAATTGCCAACGGAATAATGTAATATTTTATTATCAATATTATTAGTGCCTAACAGAATGTTCAGGCCGATAGGTTAAACGTGATAAATGAGGTAAACAAGGTAAATATATGATCTCTAATTGCACATTTCCATACAATGTGAAAAGATCTAAATTGGTCATTTTGTAAAACAAGTAAAACAGGTAAAACGTAAATTCAAAACTCAGTTTGAAAAGTTGATTTTATTCTCGGAATGCCATTATATTGCTTTCCTGTTTTCTTAAAATTCGTCATATTATTAATAAATTTATTTTATTTGTACATATAAGTATGTACATACAGCCGTCAAATTTTAAATTCCAAGTACTGGAGAGCATGGTCAAGTTAAAGAAATTTTTTTTCCCGACGGATGCCATTTGCTCTGAAATTTGAAGTATTACTAGCCTACAATTCTATAAAAGTTATCGAGTTTTTTTTTATTATTTTCTATCAAATTGTCATTTTATATTAAAGTTATAAATATATTTTGACAACAAAAGAATATATATATGTATATATATTAATAATATTCATTTAATTACTTCATTAGGAGTATTCGCTTACCTAAATTACTTGACTCCCAAAACTCGACATGAAATTTTGGAATTACTGTTAAATGGATTAAAACGCATGGAATACCGTGGATACGATTCAACTGGAGTGGCTATAGATTCGCCTCTGAATAAGGACATTGTTATGGTGAAGCGTGTTGGAAAAGTAAAGGTCCTGGAGGATGCCGTTGAAGAACGTAAGTTTAGTCCATTTTACATAAAGAAATAAACAATATTCTTATTTTGCTTGTATAATTCTTATAATTCTTAAAGACATATAATTTTTTTTATTAATATACATGTGACCGAAATGAAGCGTTGGAAGGTACAAAAAATATTTGCTTTGGATTCTACGTACAAAAATATTATATATCTGTCTCAAATGAAATTTGAAAAAGTAATAAATACATAAAATATGTATAATGTCCAAGCGGGTTTGGAAGAATGTAGAATTTATTGTTATTAAGCACTTGGCTCTTACGAAGAAACAACGCTGGCCTTTACCCGGTGCCCGGAAGGCAACCACTCGAAAGAGCAGTAGATGGGTAGACACAAAAGAGATATTTTTTTAAGTATTTTTGCAAGCATACATTCGGATTTCTTCGCTCTATACTTTTAATACTTTTCGTTTGAGTCTAATGAAATATGGATAGTTTATGTGATTCTTTACGCGTGTCGGAAAATCATTGGTATAGCAACTGACGAATGCCTATATTGTTGTTTATCCCAATGTAACAGAAGTCCCAAACACACTACACTGCATTTATGTGAAACCCAAGACTTATCTTGATTCCGCACAGGAAATTGAAAATAGTCGAAATATCACTGTTGAATTAATTAATGTGAAATTACGACGCTGAGATCTTACAGTTAATACTCCCTACACATAATAGAAACTGTCGGAATTTTTCCAAAACTTCGCCGCACATTAAGCGAACTAATCAACCTAAATATTACGTATAATAATTGAATTCAATAGTTATGTAGTCGCTGAAATGAAGTTCAAACAAAGGAGCGTTTATAAGATCAGAAATCAACAAAAAAACTAGATGTGATTGAAACAAAATAATTTAACATTTTTAATGAAGGAACACTGATATGAACCGAAATTCTCAAAAAGGTTGTATGATCTTATTTTAAAGCCAAATTATTCGACACTGATTAAAGCAAATTAAAGTAGGTAATGCAGTTCGCCGATACTGTTCTTTCGGAACGTAATCTCGGAATTCCTCAACCATTTGTCGCTTTGTCGCTCTTTTAGTACTGCCTTTTCTCCATTTCTTTACTAAATGCTACTGGCTTTTATTCAACCGTCCTTTTTCACCGCATCAAAATTTTTCGCCTTCTCTACATACTTCGTGGATGCCTCTTCGTCCTCCCGACTGAGTTCGTATCGGCTCAAGTCAATAACTTCCGCTTCTCCGTTTGGGCATACTTTCTGGGAAAAAATCACCTTCAAAATCAACTCAACTCAAGTGCATATATATGTACATATAATTTAATTGGCGTTTTAAAACCGCTACTGCGGATTTCGAATAGTACGATAGTTATGCAATAGGATTACATATGCATTAATGTGTGCTTTTTAATGTTGTTCAATCTAATAACTTGTTCATAATTTTGAAATATTTATACATTTATATACAGATTTTAGTGGCAAAGAATATGATGACCCCATACTAACCCATGTCGGCATCGCCCATACACGTTGGGCTACTCATGGTGTACCATGCGAGAAAAATTCTCACCCGCAACGCTCCGACGAGGGAAACAGCTTCATTGTTGTCCACAATGGCATAGTTACCAATTATAAGGATATAAAGACATTCCTAGAGAAGAGAGGCTATGTTTTTGAGTCAGATACGGATACAGAAGTTATTGCAAAATTAGTTCATCACTTGTGGAAGAAACATCCTGGCTACTCGTTTAGAGAACTGGTGGAACAAGTTATTCAACAATTGGTACGTACGGTAGCTCTCTTGATCATATAATTTTATATATGTATGTATGCATATTTTTCTACACCAATAGGGTTATAAACGGTTCTAAAACGTGCCATTATTTTTATTTTTATTTTTATTTTTTTGGCATTCAGTTTTATTTTTTACAATTGTTTTCGTGTGATAAATGATGGTATTAAAATAAAACGAAAAAAAGTTGGAGTTAAAATTAAAAATATGAATATTATATTTAAAAAAGCTCGGCATTTACTCAATTTAGTATTCAGTTTGGCTAACTTTAAGAATTACTATAGACCCAATGAATTTACCTTAAATTAATAATAGAGATCTGCTCTAACGCAAAAATTTAGTGTTAAACATGTAAACTAGTATTCAGTTTTTAAGATAATTTTTTTTTCTTATTTGTATAATATGTCAAAGTTACATACATTGAAAATTGTTCAATCAACAATATTCCAAGACTAAATCAACTTATATATTTATTTACAGGAAGGCGCATTCTCCATCGCAATTAAATCCAAACATTTTCCCGGTGAATGTGTGGCTTCCCGACGAAGTTCTCCTCTGCTCGTTGGTATAAAAACAAAGACACGTTTATCTACTGATCATATTCCCATTTTATATGGAAAAGGTAAATTAATTCCTATATATGTAGGTGAAAATTTATTCATAGGTATATCAGATGTACTCAAGAAATGAAACGATGCCATTTCGTTACCTTTGTTTTGGAAAATAAACTTAGAAAATGATTTTGTTTCGATTTGGCGCATTGTTATCGAAACGAAATTAAATTGTTAATGTTGAAATTGCATAACTGCGATTTTTGTATAATATATATAGGGTTTTTTAAAAACAATCCATCAACTCTTGAGAGGCTTATTAAAACTGTAGGTCCCACCATATGCTCATACAAATCGGATGAGAATTTCGTCCGACAATGTCTTAAGAAGTTAGAAAACGCCAAATATATATATAAAATTATTACATATATAGAAGTAATTAAATATATACATACATGCCAAGTTACTTGATGAGAGGGCTCTTCCAACCTACCAATCTAAAGTGGGTATATATTTATACATAATAATTTTTTCAAATTACATGTGCTTTTATTGAAAAAGCAAGAAAGAACTTAAGTATTTTCAATTAAAACCATTGGGTGCGTTCAGCGAACTGAACGCTCAGTAAACAAGCTCAGTGAACGCTCCCCATATTTGTGAGCGTAAAACTTTTATGCTACTTCCTACTGATCGGTCAACTGTTGTATCAGAAAAGATGAATCGGGTAAATTTAAAAGTATTTTTACTTGAAAGTGCTTCTGACGACAAATTACAGTTTTTCAAAGAATGAAATTTAAAAGAAAAATCGCTCACTGAACATGTTTACTGAGCGCTCAGTTCGTTGAATGTTGAACATGAAAGAGGTAATTAATTAATACGCAATAGTAAAAGAATTTGTAGAATTTCTTAGCATGCATCTGTCGAAAATAGTTAGTCGTTTCAAACTTCTTTAATTTGTCTTCAATTACTGTTATTTCAGAACTGTTACTCTTAAAATTCGAATTATAAGTATATACGAGATTAATATATCCTTCAATTTTTCTTTCATCTCAATATCAAAATTTTATGTTTATATTGGATTTATAATATTTCAACAATTCAATTACAATTAGTAATGTGATATGTGCTTTTTCAAGTCTATTATGAGGTTGAAAAGACGTAGTTATAATATAAAAATTCCATACTTGGTAAGTGTCCTCGATCACATTCCTTCTTTTCGCCGACTAGGAAAATTAAACTAGTTCAGTTCCTTTGGTGGATAGATTAGCATAATAAGAATATACCCATTTATCTACAAAAATCGGTAGCCATTCAAACGAAATGTAGAACAACTCTTATATAACAAATAAATAATTTCGGATGTTTTCCGCTTTAAATTTATGTAATTAAAAAGAAAATGTAACATCTATAAGGACGATAACATTTTTGTAATAGGGAGTATGTAATGTTCGCTTGTATTCGAACTTGCCCCTTGCCTACTCTAAGAAATTCTAGTAAAAAATATTTTATTTCGTTTATAAACACAACAATCAGATGTTATTAAGAGGGGAAAATTTTTTTTATTTACATTTCAATGTTCAATGAGCTCCTTCGAGTATACATATGTATGTACATCTTTTCTAGAACAAAATTAATTCGTATATTAAATAATGTTGTAACTTTATATTTATAATTATTTTGTTAAAGTTTTATTTTTTATTTATTAATATATGTATATATGTATGTGAATTGTGCGCTAATTTTCTATTCTTCACTATGCTCTTTATCTACCGACCCTCTTTTAATTTTCTGGAAACTATATAATTATTCGTAATTAATAACACAAATCCTGCATCTATTGATACGCTGTCAAAACCTACTACTTGTATTTTGTTTTCATCTTTATTCACCTCAAACAGACGATAAGGCACCGCAAACTTGTGAAAAAGGTATTAGCCCACATATCTATGTATATAAATTATGTTTGTAATAATAATATTATACAAAAGGTGATGGTTGATTTGGTATAGTGTCTTCATATGAATTCTTACATTTGTGTCTTACGGTAATATTTATTTATATACGGCTGACTTTCATATATACATTTACTAACAATGAGACAAGCAAAAATGAATACTATTTTAGCTCACTGGATGTACTCATATGTATGTACATGTATATTTCAGGTGAATAGAAGGAAATTTAAATGACAGTATTTTATATATTATTTTTAAATAAAACCATCCACTGCTATAATTTAAAAAATAAACATTATAATGAAAAAATTTACCTAAAAAAATGTTTAAATAACATTTTCAAAATTTAATGAAATGAAAAATTCAATTGTTTTTTTAATATAATATTGGAGTAGAAATAATACTAAGACGTCTGGAGTACTTCTTGTTCCTAATATAATACACGAAATTTCTCTTGTGGATTTTCAAAACGGTTTCACCAAATAGTTTCGTGTCTAGCCATTTGACTGTGCTCAATGTTGTCAAGCAATTTCTGTACTCGCCGCGATTTACCTTCATGAAATGATAGCAACAACGTGTATGTGCTCTATACATACATATATGCAAATGTAAGAAGAAATTAAAAAAAAATAACATTAGTGCTAAAATATAATATTTTACGATTCAGTTATTTATTAGTATTCAGTAAATAATAATTCATATTTTTTGTGAAAGCAACGAAAAGCTTTCCCGATACTCTATATTCACCGAGCGAAACTTAGTAATATTAGCATTATATATTTTTTTTTACAATATTTTATGCTTTTTGCTTGTGAAAAGTTAAGCCCGCATTCATATTTTTAAAATATGTATATTCAAATAATACACAACAAGGCGTTGACACAAATATTTTTCAAAAGTTTTTTTTTACCAATATAATTTTAGTTATTACTACATAATTACACGATGACATACGCACTAATCATTTTTATATGCATTATCTTTTTTTATTTTTTAACACTGCGAAACCCCACCATATTTCAAAAATGTAAAGACACCGATGCAGCAAAGACACAAGGTAACATATTTAAAGTTAATTATCGCCCAAATATTGCAATACATTTTTTCATATTATTTGACATACATGTGTGCGTACAAATATTAATTACTATATATGTATATATGGAGAACTGCAATACGAACTGGAAGAATGGAATCATAACATTTATATATTCAAATCCAATCCGTATTTATTTAAACTCAATCAAACCACGTAATAAGATTTTAAGTTTTGAAAATCACTTCATACTCATACGCAACAATATACTTGTATATGGTCTTTGACGACTGTAACGATTTTCGGACCATGTGACAATACGACGAAAATTAGTACGATTTGAATACTAGTGAATTATGAATGCGAATGAATTTACACTGTTAGCGTCATTGTTGCATTTTAGATTTTGAAACTTTCATTTCGATATTTTGCTAAAATAATTCTTGTTACATTAAGCCTTAAAATTTCACACCTATGACGATTAGTGTCCACGACTTGACGTATGGAGACGTCGTCGACGATTTATCGATAAATTACATTAATTTCCACATCACTTCGTTTTACTTAAAGTTATTACTCAAAATTTTATTTTATTGGGCATTTTCAAGAGAGATAAAGAAAGGAAATGAATGGAAAAGAAATACTATAAGGTAGAACTCTGATATATTTGGGAAAGCGTATTAATTTAAACTCGCCAGTAAAGGAGTTCTTATCACCGGTGTTTTTAGATTTGAATCCAATTTGATTGACAGACGCCAGAAAATTAGAAACGGAGAAAAATTGTTTCTAAAAGACAACTAGCTTCTATGAAAAGGTTTTTTAGTTTAATGCTATGATTAAAATAACAAACTAACTATTGGTTAGCATTTTTAAGTTCAAAAATCTTACATATTATTTAAAAAAATTTAGACAAAATGAGAAATTTAGCCAGGAATATAAAGAAACCAACTTGATTCCATAGATTCCGGGCTAAGTATTTGCCCAACAATAGATTCGACTGTAGAGGTTATAATTTCACTGTTCATAATTAGTGCAAGTTCGTGTGGTTTGAAAGCAGTTAGTGTTGTAATGTCACAATAATTATGTTAAATATGTATGTCAACACACTGTTTATAAGAACATGTTTCATTCTAAAAAGAATCGTTATGAACTTCCATAAAAATTTATTTATATCATTTCTGATTTTTATTAATTTTAATTCACACTCTTTTCTCTGTAATAATTTTTTTCAACTATAACAATCGTACATATATCTCTCACCTTGGCACCTCCGCACGCATACACGCCCACGCTAATGTTTTTTACTAATCTTTATATGCATATGTACATATAAATCATAAATGTATGTATGTATTTCAAAAATGGTTAAATGCCAACGCTAAACTGCAACCATTTGCTTTTGCTTTTGCTACCCGCCTAAAACGTACTTCCTAATCAAAAAGAACATCGTCCACATGGACAAACTCGTGAATTGCCAGTGTTACCCCGAACTGAGAGCACGTCTGAATTCATGCCATTGGAGGAGAAGGAGGTTGAATACTTTTTCGCTTCGGATGCCTCTGCCGTCATTGAACACACAAATCGGGTGATTTATTTGGAGGTATGTAGTTTACATTCACATACGTTAATTAGTATATTTACATCAACGCATATACATACAAGTACATACATACGAGATTTGTGCAAAATAAAAGTCGAATTAGGAAATTTCGCTGCACGACCCGCGATTATGGAAATTTTCTTTATGTTTGTGTATTCGTACATATGTTGACATCACAGCCGAATCAACAAATGCGCGCCATTCGTTCCTTCTCTTTGCTGTTTGGCGCCAGTTTCAAGTACCAATAGAAACCAAGTTCCTCGTCTAATTTTAAAGTTGGATCACTTTCAATCATTTGGACGGCATGACCCAGTCAGCGTAGCCACTATCTCTTCATTCGCTGAACTACAATAAAATCACTGTATACCTCGTACAGTTCATCGTTCCATTGTCTGCGGTGACCGCGGTTGTCAATGCGCAAAGAACCATAAATCGTTCGCAAAAATTTTCTCTCGAAGACGCACAGGGCCGGCTAACGGTCTAGGCTTCTTCACTATATAGTTGAATGGGGACGACCTGTAAAGTTAGGTTTTAATCGTCGTGAGAGGGCCTTACTTTTCAATTGTCTACTCAGTCCATACGACTACGGCTTTTGACTTTCGAAAAAAGGGATCTAAGAATAAATATTAAAGATTGTGTTAAAACTATAATAAAGAGCTCCAAGGCACTTGAAATATTAACTGTGGTATTCAGCAAGTTCACTTTGTCCCAAAAAGCTCATAACGTGTTTATATGGTTATGACGTCGAAGCCTAGACCGAAAGGAGGAAATCGAAGAACCCACAAAAACATGACTAACATTTTCAGTTGTTAACAGCAAACTACTAATTCAAACTGGCAGATGAGGCCAACACATGATCAACATACTCGTATGTGTGGCATCATAAAAACAAATTTCCATACTCGAAAACTCAAAACTCACCGCTTCTTTTGAGCACAGATCTCGTACAGAAATACATTTGTAAATTATTTTATAAATACAAAGACTCATATGTACATTTCTTGCTTTAGGACGATGATGTGGCCGCTGTTCGGGATGGAGTATTAAGCATCCATCGGCTTAAGAAATGCTTGGATGATCCGCATGCGCGTGAAATCACAACTCTGAAAATGGAAATTCAGCAGATTATGAAAGGCAACTACGACTATTTCATGTTGAAAGAGATCTTTGAACAGCCCGAGTCTGTGGTAAATACAATGCGTGGTCGTATGCGATTCGATTCGGACACTGTAGTATTGGGTGGGATTAAGGATTTCATACCAGAAATTAAGCGTTGCCGTCGATTGATGCTAATTGGTTGTGGCACCTCATATCACAGTGCTGTAGCTACTCGCCAATTACTAGAAGAGCTCACAGAATTGCCAGTTATGGTGGAACTGGCATCTGATTTCTTAGACCGTAACACACCTATTTTCCGTGACGACGTTTGTTTCTTCATCTCACAGTCCGGAGAGACAGCCGACTCACTAATGGCCTTGAGATATTGCAAACAACGAGGTGCTCTTATTGTCGGTATAACGAATACAGTTGGTAGTAGTATATGTCGTGAATCTCACTGTGGTGTCCACATTAACGCTGGACCTGAGATCGGTGTCGCTTCCACTAAGGCATATACATCTCAATTTATATCCTTGGTCATGTTCGCATTGGTGATGTCAGAAGATCGACTATCCTTGCAACAACGTCGTTTGGAAATTATTCGAGCATTATCGAAGCTTCCGGATCAAATCAGAGACGTTCTAAGGCTTGATAATCAGGTGCAAGAGTTGGCCAAGGATCTGTTCCAACACAAATCTCTGCTTATTATGGGGCGAGGATACAATTTTGCTACATGCTTGGAAGGTGCTTTGGTAAGTGAACCATTTATATATCAACACATAAATATCTTATTCCTGAAATAATATTTTTGGTTGTAGAAAGTAAAGGAACTCACGTATATGCATAGCGAGGGTATAATGGCCGGTGAACTTAAACATGGCCCATTGGCCCTCATTGATGATCGAATGCCTGTCATGATGATTGTTCTTCGTGATCCGGTCTACATCAAGTGTATGAATGCGTTGCAACAAGTGACATCACGTAAAGGCTGCCCAATTATCATTTGTGAGGAAGGCGACGAAGAAACAAAGTCCTTCTCATCTCGCTCACTGGAAATACCCCGTACAGTTGATTGTCTACAAGGCATTCTAACAGTGATTCCAATGCAATTGCTCTCATATCACATTGCGGTGCTGCGCGGCTGTGATGTGGATTGCCCTCGCAATTTGGCCAAGTCCGTGACAGTGGAGTGATATGTATATCTAATGGTTCAGTTCATATGGTTTAAGTTTTTTGACTTTGATTTTTCGGTTTGCTTTCATGTACATGCAAGTATTCATATGTTTACAAAAAATACCGTATCTATGAAGTTTGCAGTGTTTTATGTCCATACATTACGTGTAAAATTTTTATAAGATTTGATACAAATCGTTTATTTTAAAAAATTTATTTACAAGTTTAATAAAATGTACATTATATTAGCCAAACCTACACGTATACTTATATATAATATATCTGACTGTATTGATACATATAAAGGGGTTTCGATTTGGCCATTTTTAAAATATCAAGAACTGGCATATTTTTCATTGAATTCAGTAATACTTAGAATTTCACCATGGAGAGATATACGCAAGAACAACGTTTACAAACAACAATAACTTGAAAACGATAACGATACAATAATTTTAGAAAATCAACTTCTCCGATAAGGTTCACTTTCATCTGAGTGTTGCGATAAATAGACAAAACTGTCGATTCTGATGCGAAGAAAATATACAAATTATTTATGAACACCGATTACATTCACCTAGATAGACAGTTTGGTGTGGTTCTTGGGCTGGTAAAATCATCGGTCCGGACTTCTTTCGAAACGAAGCTGGTAGCCCCATTACTGTTAATGGAGAGCGGTATAGTATCATTGATCTACCAACTTTTTATGGCCACAATTAGATGTAGTTCATCTTAACAACATCCGGTTTCAGCAGGACGAGGCTACGCTATGTGTCACACAGCACGGGCAACAACCGAATTATTGTGAGAAAGGTTTGGAGATTCGATTATGTCGAGAAATTGTGACATTGACAGGCCTATTCTCACTGTTACCGGCAAAGTAAATTTTGTTACTTTTTTAACACCGAAATTGAATTTGGTTTTCTGGCGAACTGGTTACGATGTTTGAAAAAACTTAGGCAGCACTGCTTTTTTCGTCCTTGTCAAATTAGATTTGCCGGTTTCTGTAGTAGAAAAGAATAATATTCATATCGAGATTGAAGACGGTGCACTCCAAAATAAATAAGTTTTATTTATGTGTTTATTAAATCATAAATATTTGAACCTAATTATAGAAAATATGCCTAAGCGACAAAAAAAATTAGCAGAGTACTCAAGGTGCGAGCGAGGGATAGATAAGGGGAATAGCATTTTACGGAAGGAAAGGTATTAAAGTTTATACAACTAATAAAGTCTTCTGCGGGCTGCGGTAATACTGGCCATGATACAAAAATTTGAAAAGGGCTTTACACTTTAAAATTTTTTACTCTAAATGTATTAGCTCAGTTACATTATATATAAAAGTATTTGGGAATATTCAACCATCTTAAAAGATTTATATTTGAAGTTGAAAATGTGAACCCAAACAGCACTTTAAAAGCTAACAAATTATCATATTACCCTGCCAGCATACAAAACTTATTTAAAATATCTTCATAGTTTTTCATCTACTTGAAATCTACTTGACTTATGTTGAATTAATTTCTTCCTCTTCTGAAATCTGGGCTAGAGTTCTTTCGTTGCCCGAACATACTATACTGCCCATTGTGAGTATTTTTTTTCTATATTATCTAAAGCGCTCGCCAAACTGTAGTAGCTACACTGTATGTCGCCTTCATCTGCCTCATTTTAAAATTGTCGAAATACAGAAAATAACATAAAAATGTTGATTTTATTTTTATATTAATAACAATGATAATGATGAAAGACTCTGAAAAATTTTTGACTGCATCTTTAACGGTTTTCAGAAAACAAAAAGTTTCGGATTCAGTTCATCTATGAGATGGATTCAGACTTGTACGCTTACATTTTTAATTAGGTATCTAAAATTGAAGGAAAATAAAAATTGTTAAATTTGCTCCTATCTCCCCCATGTTCCAAGGTCTTATTTTGTATTCATCATTTACATTTGCAAAATGCAAATTTTTTTATCTGGTGGTAATTATATAAAAATTATCGCGTCGCACGCTTAAATGAAGACTCTTATTAATTTGAAGGTAATTTAATTCTCTTGTCATTTCATTTTTAGTCGACTTCACAGCTATCGGGCTGCTGTCCTCTTCTCTTAGAAGAAATCTAAAGAGAAGAGCCTCTCGAATCTATTTGAAGGTAAAGAAGTCAATTCGTTCTAAAAGTTGTAAATTTAATCCAATATGACATTCAAAAAGCCAGGTCCGACCAACGTCCAAAAATTATAGAAAATTAAATTATATAAAAATATATACGATATTACATTGTTCTCAATGACGGCTGTTAGTAAAAATAGTGCCCAAAATTAATAAACAAAATTTAATTCGTTTATTTTATTTGCTCAAATGTTAATATTTACAATTGTACTTTATTATTGACAAAATGTATTTGTTATTAAAATCTCATGTAAGTATAAACAAGAATATCACACAGCTCCAGAAATGAACTTGTATCGAAATGATTTCTTAAAGAAGTCATAGCCATTTGTTTGACAACTCACTTTACAAAAATACTTATTTCCTTTCTGGAACGAAAAATTATTATTATTATCTTCGTTGTAAATGACGCCTCTTTATTATTTAAAATATTTGGACATTTTAGTAATTCCAGCCAATAATTCTAGACTGATTTCTCAATGTTTACGATTTATCATTTTCTTTTATTTTTTGTTAAAATTCTGTAAAATAGAGATTTGATTAAGACTTGTTCAATTCAATTGCTCAATATTGTAACGTTTCATTTTCTATTTAGTTCATCAATGTAAATGTAAGCAAGAGCTAACTGTTTCTGTTCTGTCACTTCATTCTTTGTTTACAAGCCATTTGAGGTTGACATGTCAGAGTATTTTTTTAATATAGAAAACACATCGAGCAGGGATTAGATGATTTGTTGTGAAAGCTTCAAAATGGAACGTTGAATTTTTAGTATGGTCGTACTTGGCTTGAAGACGATCCCCATGAAGCACCACCAAAAACCGCTATCTCAACAGAAATGATTGAGCAAGCTCATAATGTGGTTAGTGAAGATCCCAGTCGGGCTAAGCTTGAAATTGCTAATGCCATAGGCATCTCAGACTAACGAGTACTTCAGCTCGAACAAGAAATTTCGTGAAATTCGTGTGAAAAAATCTGGTTTGCAGCACAAAAAATTCATTTTTCATCAAGACAATGCACCTGCGTACAACGGTGTTTTACTAAGTACTGCAACGAATTATTGTACGAATTGATTGAGCATCCACAGCATTCACTAGATTTGGCTCCCAGCGACTTCTACCCTGAAACAATTCTTTCGTGGAAAGCGTTTTTAGTCCCATGAAGAAGCTATCAGAGCCGTCGACGATAATTTTCCAGAGCGTTATTGGAGGTTCATTGGAATAAGTGTATTGAAGATAAGAGAGATTATGTTGAATAAAAAATCAGTGCTGGAACTTTTCAACCAACCAGAAAGTTGATACACCCATGTTAGTATGATGAGATAATTAAATATCCTTATACCTTTTCATTAGAACCATGTTGAAGAATCTAGTTTACGTATACGTAAAGAAATTTTTGTTAATAAAAAATAATTGAATTTTTGGCTTTAAACTTTAAAGACTGTGACGATAGTCGAATCTAAATTTAATCCAAAAATAATCAAATAATCAAATAAACATGATTACTCTCCAAAACTATGTCTTCAAACTTGAAAGAATTAAAGAAAAAGTGTTTTTTACCAATTGACAATATTTAAGCCAGAAAAATTAGGAACATTTTTGTTTTACCACCGTATTCTACCATTTTTAATTAGAGAATAAGTACAATGTCAATACAGGATCTGCAAAGATGATATAGTTGTCGCAAAAGTCAGTAAATTCAGTCTCCATGACGAAATGTCCCCAAATTCTGGCACAGAAAACATAACTCCAGTGTTCTAGATGTGCGCTCGTTCCAGAAACCTAATATCGGCTTGGACTACTATCATGTAGTAGCAAACATACACACCCTGCTCTGTGCAAAAAAGAATCCTCATCATTAAACACAGGAAATTGTTTATTATCAGACTTGTTTTTCCAGCTACATTTTTCCGAATTGAAATCGAACTTGAGGTGCCCACAGGACGAACCTATGGTTATCTCATTAAGCTACATTAGTCCGCTTTTAAATGCAATCACAACAGATAAAAGAAAAACAAACCCCAATCACACATAGTTGTATTTTTATAGTTCATATCAAAATCACAATTTAAATATACAGAATTTTCTCTGTCGTTTGCTTTAAGTTAGTTTTTTCTATACTGAAATCTATTTTCTACAACTCTAGTAGGACCCAAAGATAATCTAGTGGCTGATGCCCAAAGTACACCGCTGAATGGCAGTGAAAATTATGTTACAACCGCTTGAAACACAACAAAGCGTAGTCCCATGTATTGCCGACCGAACTATTCAAATACAGTAGTGTAGAACAGATAAGACACAGGCTTCTTTGACAAAACATAGTCGGATGAAAGCATGTCCAGTTCACAAAAATGGCGATCCCACAGTCTGCGACAATTACCGTAGGATAAGCGGTTTCAATACCGCATATTAGGCCTTATTGAGCACATTGTTTGTAAAACTAAAAATCACCGCAAACAAACTGTTTGGACCGCATCAGCGTGGCTAGAAACCTGGTAAATCCACCATTGCACAGATATTCAATCATTCGCCAAATTCAGGTTTCACACAATGTGATTCTTAATCGTGTTACTTCTTCTACTGGAGTTAATCGATGATATTGACATTATTATTCAGACTAAATGAGGAAGCGAAGCGTATGGGTACGAGGGCAAAACCAAATATTCTCCGTCATTAACAAAGAATAATCGCACTCCCGACTCGGCTTCCACGAGAACGTTGACAGTCATAACTTTGAAGTCGTAGAGAATTTCGTGTATCTAGTAACCAGCATCAACACAAACAACAATGCTAACCCTGAAATGCACCTTGGACTGAGCAGGCAATTGAAAAGTAAAGTCCTCTCTCAACCAACAAATACTAAACTCTACGAGTCACTAATCATTTCCGTCCTGCTACAAGGTGCAGAAGCGAGAGCTTAAATCGGAACAATGGCTATAGAAAATGTTTTTAACGGAAGAAGGATAATTTGTTTTTGAAAATAAATTTATTGCCAAAGGAGGCGGATCAATCTTCGTAAACGTTTTTAACTATGCCAACAGCACCATTACTTCAACAACAACGCTCTTCAACGGAGTTCCCAAGAGCTCCCCAATAC